CACCCCGCCCCGTCCTGTCTGGTATTGAACACTGACAGAGACGGCAGATCTCTGGACAACCTGTTCCAGTGCCTCACCACCTTCACAGTAAAGAGTTTCGTTCTACTATCTAGTCTAAATCTACTCTTTCCATTTAAATACATTCCGTCTGGTCCTGTCACTCGGTGGCCTTGCAAAAAGCACCTCTCCAACCTTCTTGTAGTCCCCTTCCTGCCCGCCCGCTTACGATAAACATGAAAAAACTTTAAGGATCGCGTTCTTGTTTTTTTCCCCGATCTAAAAAGCTAGGATTCTTTTTAAATTTTTAGTCTGTGCTATAGCTTGTTGAACATAAGTGCAGTTTGAGGAAAAAAAGACTTACTAATATTTCACTGCATGCAGTTAATATTTCACCACCTTTTATAATAAACCCCATTGCCATATCTCTGCATGCCTTTGCACTGTGTCCCTCTATATTTCATACCGGCCTTATTTACCTAATAAAATCATACGCTTAAAGATTGTATAAATATTGAAGCCAAGCATAGGATATACGTCATATACGTATTGAAGCCAAGCATACGTCTTATTTTCTCAACGGATAGATGCTAGGTAGCTGCAAATTGTGTTGTTCAGAGAGAAGTTCCTGAAATTAAGCTGCTATTTAGTAGCCTAATTGTCTGACCTGGACGGAGTGATTCTTGGAGAAGAGAGAAAGAGGTTGCAGATCCAAAAACCATCTTAATCTTAAATTTAGTCCTATTGCGAGTATTACTACCATGAGTAAGCTAGTTAATTTTTGGGTACTCCGTGCTGCTGTCACTTTTGTGTCTGCAGGGTAGGCATAATCCTGTGTTTAGTATTTGGTGGTTATATCTTCTGGACAAATGGCAGAGGTATTGAAACAGTCTTTTGTGGGAGGAGAGAGTATACTTTTCCCGTGGGCAGATTAGCAAGTCTGCATTCTCTGTATGTGAGTCAAGCAGGGTGAAACTCGTCTTGGAAAAGAGCTCGATTGTTATGGAAAATGGTACGTGGTGAAAGAGTAAGAAGAGGATGTAGAAATGCACATACCTAACAAAGGATTGGTTGCTCGGTGAGGGAGTGTTTACCTGCAAGAGAAACAGGACACTGTCTCCTTATATGTATAGGTTGCTAGCTGGACTGAAAAAAAGTTGCGGAGTATATGTAGTCAGAACTTTTGAGGCTCGAATTAAAGTCAGCATAAAAATAAGACTTGGTTTCAGAAATCATTATGTCTTACAAACCTTACCAACCTTTGTCTCTTTTCTGACACTCTTGTAATACAAAGTCCTGTCTGTGGTTCAGGTATCTGTCCATCCACTTCAGTATAGCTTACTTTCTGTAGTGTCTCACACTTAACACTTCAGGATTTTTTGATGATGCTTTTATTTTTTCTACCTAACCTCTGAACTCCAATTGCAAAGCATTGTTTTATATTGGATAACAAAACATTAATAGGGACAAAGTGGTAGTATTGACTCTTCTAGTTCTCTACCATAGTTTAAGTCTTTGGAATGGACTAAAAATAGCACAACTGCAATTTGATTGTATGGACTACTTTCTGATGGACAGATGCTTAACATAGCACTTTATGGTGCATTTTGTTACTATATCCTCTTCACTGCTAACAACTTAGTATATAAGGTCTGCTTCCAAGCATCTCCAGGATCTTTCTCAGCTAAGCTGTTAGCCTAAGAAAATCAGCATTGCTTAGTTCATTTTCACTTCAGTGTCTATAAGCATCTGTAAGCTGTGCCCTTTAGGTTGGTTTTATGGGTCCTCCTATTCACAGCTCATCTTAGGGAATTAGGATTACTGCATGATAATTAAACTTTGCAGTCTTGAACGGTATTGTTGGTGTGATCATGGGGCTTGAATGTCTGAAAAGAGAATTTTTATAATTCTGCTTTGTTGTAACTATGCCACATATAGATCAAAATGACTGTTTGGCATTTGAATTAATTTTCTTTAGGATGGTGATTTTATTAGTATATTTTAAGCCTCTGTCTTCCTACAGTCTACTGCAAAGATTTGTCCATGTCATTGTACAGGCAAAAAGTTTTCTTGCACCTCAGTTTTCCAGTGAAGGCTACCTGGGCCTAGAGATTTTTAAGTGCTCAAGTGGATCTAGGTTAACTTAATTTGAAACTCTGAAGAGTTTCAATATATGCTTATTTCTGTGTACATCTTCAGAAAGGTTGCAGGGTCTAGACAAGAGTCTAATGCTGTACCTCAGACTTTTTCAACATTCTTCATGACTGTTCAGATGTTCAAAAAGACATTTTTTATATTTCACTTTGGGGGCTTTGGCTAAATAAATCCACAAATATTGATAGAAACCGAGTTTAGAAATAATCCTCCCTAAACCAGTCACCTTCCATGTCCATACTGTTAAGCTGTATGGAGATGGATGTCTGAGTTTTTGGAATGGTGTGCGTTGCAGGACATTGCTGTGCAATTTAGCCTGTCAGTGGTGCAGGACATTGCTGTGCAATTTAGCCTGTCAGTGGAGGAGGACTGTGCTGTGTATGCAGGTATTTAAAACTGGGCTATCCAAAGTCTGTGCTACAGGTGTCAGCAGTCAGGAGCACCTGGCTCACTCATATGGTTTGTAAGCTCCCACAGCACTCAAAGAGGCAGAGCAAAGCTTGTAG